CACATCTACGCCAAGGCGTACGAGTTACAAATATCTCGCCTTACTCACAATGCTACGTGACTTAACAATTTCAGTATCATTGACCTAATCGTCCTAATACAACTATTTTTAACAGTAAAATATAAAAGTTCTTCATTGTGAATTTTTCTCCATTTGTCTCTGGCCTTCACCTGTTTTCTCCCTTTGGGTAATGACGTGTAATAATGAATTCTCATGCAAGAAGGGCGTAACTCTAAAAGGGACAGAGAAATCAATGTTCGTGTTCGTCCGTCCGTCGAAACCCTGATCACGCATGCGCCTTGCGAACAAACTTCGACGATGTTTGCATAGGCCTCGTGTGCCTGTTACATTTCCACTTTCTATAGATTTTATATGCAAGCCTGTACATTATACAAAACGACTTACAGAATGGACGAAAATGTTTTACTCAAACTAATCAAACCGAACAACTAACTAACTAACTAGATGGCTTACCGAACCCGAAGGGGTAAAAAATGTGGGGCATTATGTAATGAGCCATAAAACTGCCTCTCTGGAAAAAGATGAACAAACAGGTATTCAGGGTTTTTCACTGTAGAAACTCGTATGGAACCTTACAATATAATTGGAGGTTCTGTTCAAGTGTAAAAAGTGTTTCCCAATTTTAAAAAAATTGATAGTTTTTTGTGTGATTTGGCTCAAACCTTTTGTATTCTTTCTCTTAAATAGGATGTGAGCCATTTTGCAGCTATTCCTCTAATGCCATGATAATGTAATTTAGTTAACAAAATTTAATGACTTACACAGTTAGAAGCTTTTGCTAAATCACAGTAAATTCCTCTGACAAGCATTTTTTGGTTGCCTGTTGGTTTGAAGGCTGTCTCTTCAGTGGACGCACCTTTCCTGAAGCCAGATTTTTCTGGGACCAGTGTGCATATGATGACATAACCTAACCTCATACTTCCAAAGAAGTAGTTAACAGTTCAGTTAAATTTATCTTTCCTGTCTCCATTTTTATTATGTACCATGTTCTTTTTTATTTTATTACCAGATTTTGTTATTAGTCTACTGTAACACTGCTTTTTAGCCTATTTTATAAGATCATTCAGGATTTTACTGTACTTAATATAGAATACTGTTGTTTTTGGGTGTTAACTGTTCCTGCTGTGGATATGAGTCCTCTTATATTTGCAATATATTTCTAATCCTTGCGTAATCCAATCATTCTTTATTTTGCCTATATTATTATATTTATTAAGAAAGCTACCTTCATTGATACTTAAAAAAATACAAAAATGAGTTAAACATATATTTTGAAATTTTGTCTTTTTTAAAAGAGAAGTTACCTGCTACAGCAATATTATATTAATACAAAATATTACATTATATTATTCATAAGCTACTGGATATTATGGTCTGATAGGTAATTTATTGTTGGGGAGGTAGATGATCTGAACCTTATACTTGCGTAATGCTTCCCTCCTAACTGAATCATAGGATTTCCTGAAGGCTATAAATAGCTGATAATGTCTCCTATTGTAATCCTGATTTTTCTCCAGTACCGGAAAGATGCGGGATGTCTGATCAGTGTTGACTGATTACATAAAATTCATGAGTGATGATCCCAAATAATTCCTTGGATGTATTTAGAATGAAATAATTACCCCTACTTCATGAGTTCTTCTCTTTAATCCACAGCCAGAAGACATTTTGTGATGTAGTTACTAGGGACTCGCATAAAGACTTTTCCCAGATTTATTTTTAAGCACATTTGAAACTGGAGGGTACAGAAATGTACCTATTAGCTTTGCTTTACCTATTCCTCTGTCCATATGTAAGAACATGAGAACAAACAGCTGATTGGATTTTCTAGATGTTTTATGCTTGGGAATTTTTCTATTTGAGGAGACACTTCAGTTTTTTTCAGTGTCATATTGGCAACATTTGGTATTTTACATTAATGCCTACATGTGCTTTTGCTTGTGAAAGTGACTTTGTTGTAGTGGTGGACAATCACCAGCTAGCTACGCAATGACACTGAGCAAATCTAAGTTGTCATTCTTCATATTGACGTCATCAGCCGTCCAAACAGAGGCCAGACACCCTGCTCAAGCTGAGGTCACTGGCATCATTCACAAATGCCAAATTGCTGTGAATGTGTCAGAATTGTTGCATTTGGCACACTTGTCCTCATTTGCTTTTATTTGCCAAGCCGACTTATTCAGTGTTTATGAGATAATGTTCTCAGGATAAAGAGATGTAAGGATTACAACAGGTTAATAAGTAGATGATGCAAGTTGTAATAGAAAATCATTGTAGATTCTCCTTTCACTATTATCTGTAAGGAACCGGCATAGTGACTGGCTACGGACCGGGGTTCGATCCCCGACGGGGGCAGAGGATTTTTACTCTAGCCTCTGTGTCCACACCGGTTCTGGGGCCCACCCAGCCTCCTATCCTATGGGTACCGGTGTCATTTCCCGGGGGTAAAGCTGGTCAGGGCGTGATGCTGACCACTCACCCCTATCTAGTGCTGAGGTCAAGAATGAGTAGGAGCTATACCTCTTCTCACCCCAAGTGCCTACATGGTGTATAGCGGGACAGCTTTACTTTACTATTATCTGTACCGTAGATTGAGCCCAGTTAATGGTTAACTATATTATTTGAAAGATTTTTATCAGAAGATACATTATAATGCATTAAATTATGTGTCACCATTATAAGGACATCCGTGTATCCTTGCTCTTCGATGCTTTAGATACCAACAAATAGATTGGTTAATTTCTCTTTTTTCTCTCCCCATCAGGCTAAGTATTGCGAGTAGGTTTTTCTAACAGCGAATCTTTTTGGGTGAAGCAAACTTGAACTTGGACATCATGTTAGGATGTGAATATGTGGTTTGAATATGCAACTCTTATGCATTGCTGCATGTTGTCAGTCGAAAGTTTGTTTGCTATGTATACAATTACAGTCTTGGCAAGTGACTTAACCTATTTGTCACAGATAGCCAGGAACTAAATGAAATAGGAAATATAATGCTATCCCGCTGAGAAAATAAATCTGTTCTGAAAAGAACATAACTTTCTTAATGCAATATTTATTGAGCTTACTTATATCTTGTTTTCAGTATCATTCTTCTTCCTAATAAGATTTACCCTAATATTATTTCTTTGTATTTGTTTGCTAGAGTCCTCCGAATGAACAGAACTTGTTACATAGTGGTGAGCGACCGTATTCCTGTGATGTATGTAACAAAGCATTCAGTCAGATGAGTAATCTGAAGACACATCAACGCATACATAGTGGTGAGCGCCCATATTCCTGTGATATATGTAACAAAGCATTCAGTGGTAACCGAGTTAAGAAAATATTAAAACAAAAGACAACAGACTTTCAGACAAATGAGATTTGTGTGGGACTGAGGTTAATTTGGGTACCAATGCTGAAGAAACTAATTACACTTCCACACGGTGGACAAACATTTAATAAAACATTAGCAGAAGCTCTGCTCAAGAAAGCAACAATCACCCTGATGATGGAGGCAGCAAGATCTCTGAAATGTCGGCGCACTTCCACCAGACTACGCAGCTCTACGAACCTTCAGACTCACCACCAGGAAAAGCTCAAATCCCACTTAATCATTACTTAGTAGAACCCCTGGTCTGTCCTAGAGGTTACTAGGTTGGCCCCATAACATTTCTGAATGCAACAATGAAGAGAAATATTCTGCCAGGAACTGAACCCTCCAGAGCCTGACACTCACTGACTAAGCCATCACAGAACAGAGGACAGGTCACACACTTCCACTGGGATCTCCCTTTTTCTACGTGTTCTTACTTATCCATGTCAAGCCACAGACAATACTGCATAAGTTTACATGACAAATAAACTGGTGCAGCATGTATCATGCAGATATGCAAGTTTCCAATAAATCAAATTAAAACTGGGAAAACCACACGGAATGCACGCACAGGAGATCGGTTTGGTGATAATTATAGAAAAGCACAATCATTGAACTGTAACAAAGCAATGATAAGCACAGAAATTTGATGATTGTGGTCCAAATCATTCTACAAGTTACAATTACTGCAACATACTGTACTTATCCAAATGTACTCTAAGCACATTTAGTTCCTAGTATAAGTCAGATAGTTTAAACTGTACCGTTTCAGTCGCTTTCTTAACACTGGACAATTAATTTCATAAAGCAGAGTCACGGGTAAAATGCTGGCAAAAAATTCTCAGCCTTCTGTAGAATCCGCAGGTTCATTTCTGTATTTATAGCAGCCATTTTAGTAAGTTTAAATTTCCAGACACCAAATTTAATTCATCGGAATAATATGCAATGACGCAAATTTACATCACCTGGCATTCCATTGGCTAGACTGGAATCTGAAGAAACATCAACACATACATAGTGGACAGCGTCCATATGAGTGCGATGTGTGTAACAAAGCATTCAATCAGATGGGTAATCTGAAGACACATCAACGCATACATAGTTACATTTATAGCGCTGAGAGAAATACAACACATGTAGTCGATCATTAGGCAACTCTACACAACCATTTTATACAAAACATGCATCTGAAACTTTGTGTGAACATAAAACATTATCTCTGCTGTCTGGTTCTGGTATGCAAATCATATTTAACCTTTGCTGACCTAGGTCCTCTAGACCAGTGGTATTCAACCTGGGGTACGCGAAGACATCTTAGGGGGTACGTGAAATTTAAAAAAAATATATATTACTTTATGATAAACACTGAATAATCAGTAATGTAATTTATTTAATTTATTTTAGATGTAGATTATATACTATGTATAACTTGAATTATACACCAACAAGTTTGGGGGTACAAAGTTGAAGAGAAATTATATCTGGGGGTACGCGAAGACATCTTAGGGGGTACGTGAAATTTAAAAAAAATATATATTACTTTATGATAAACACTGAATAATCAGTAATGTAATTTGTTTAATTTATTTTAGATGTAGATTATATACTGTGTATAACTTGAATTATACACCAACAACTTCGGGAGTACAAAGTTGAAGAGAAATTATATCTGTGGGTATGCAAACAAAAAAGGTTGAATACCACTGCTCTAGACTGCTCCAGAGTTCAAAATCCCAAGCTGGTCTTAACACTTTCTGTCATTCATTTAAAATTTAAATGCCTCTTTAAAATGGTGCTGGTACAATAACACATTCTATGTCACCAACATATTGAAACATTTTAAACAGATGAAAAATATATATGGTCTGTCTGCCAACTGTATTTTATATATAAATTTTTAAGAAAGAACTGTTATTAAAATGCCAGTCATTATAACTAAATTGTTCTCATGGTATTTGTGTCATTAATTAGGAGTGCAGTTTGTCTCCATGTGCAACTTTCAGTGTTAATTTTATATTTTCTAATTACCCTTGTAAGTTACCAGCTATTGTTAGTGTGACTGGCAATCAGAGGCTGTCTTTCTGGACTTTGTTCCCTGAAAAAACCAGAGGAAAGCCCTAATCACACACAGAAAATATAAATATAATTGTATTCATACTTGTAAGTAGTATCAGTCATATGAACAAAAGAAGTAGCAGCGCTGCTGTCTTTGGTTAGGCCATGATCAGATTTTCTGTTGCTTCAATGTAAACAGACAATGCACACTGGTGCAACAATTTTGTTTCATAGACAGTTTTAATCGACGAGAGCTGAACTGATCCCACTTTGCTTAGGTCATAAATATCACAATTACTAAGTACGCAGTGCCATTTCAGCATTTAGGTTTCACCTGTTTTCATGATGTGAAAACATTTCAAAAATACGTACCTTTAGTTCAACGCACGTAAAATAATTTATTTATATTTCAAGATAAGGAAATATCACCAAAGCATAAATCAGAAAATAGGATTTCAATTAATAAATTCATTCTTTGATTATGAAGTCAGTTTTCCCAAAAGAGTAATGGAGAAATATAATAACCTTCATTCATTCCAGCACAAATATCACATTAACATATATTTCAGAAGTGTAAAATCAATTAAAATTCATTTGAATTTTTGTCATGCCAGATTTGAGCTTGTAGGTAGATACCATTGTTTTAGAGGAACATTATGGCCTCCAATTTCAGGGCTGAACACTGAGGCAGTATGTACTTATAGTCCATATAGTCAAAAAAAAAGTGTGACCACAAATTTGCCATTGTGGGCCTGGTAGTTCAATCAGTTTTCTGTCAGGCTACAGGCTGGGTGATAGGGATTTGATCCCCAACAGAGGATTTTTCAAGCTACGTTAATTATTAATTAAAAGCCAAAACAAACCAGGAAGGGGCAGGGTATTACTAAAAAGCACTGTAAAATGTTCTCTAGTAAAGGGATATACCGTACTGCTGAGTTGTGATATATCAGAATATGTGACGCTATTGTGAGGTTATGTTTGTGAACAGTAATGGATGTTCGAAACGGCTTGTTTGTGGTTTGCTAACCCGCTGATCCCAAGTAATCAATTCGTCAACATTTTGTCTTAATTTATGGTTAAGCTTATATACCTTTAAAGATATCAAATTGCTGATCCAAGTGCAATAGTTTATAGGCGCTTCTTGCCCTCCAGCCATCTTCCTTTGCTAGTCGGTAATAGATATCACGTTTATCTCTCGATGTTTTCTTCATCTTGGAGAAATCGAGATAAACGCTTACGAACGGCAAAATAATCCAACAGCAGACAAGAATGGTCCTCCAGCTTGAAGGTTTGGTGGGGGGCTAAAAATTCCTTACAATAAAATAAAACCAAGTTAAAAAATGTTGTCCAAGCAAACAATGGAACGTGGGCATAAAATTTTGCCATGGAGTTACACAGATAATAAACAAATGGTTTAAAATTTTCACGTCTATGAAGATTTGGATTAGGGTCTTCTGGGCCGTAATGACGTGCTATATTAGAGGTGGTGATCAGTGTATTGCTTTCATTCTACCACCACTTCTACCCTGAAGATGAATGCGATATTTTATCCTTAACTTCTATTAAAACCTTAAGACGACACAGCCTCACATTTCAGAAAACCACTATCTACAGTTGACGAACTTGGTTAAACAAGTCATAACGATAATTATGTATTTTTATAAGATCTCTTGGGAATAAAAATTATGAACTTCACAATACCACATAATTTTGTGGTTATGTCCGACAAGTAATTACGTTACTTATTGTACATGTGCTGTTCTGTTCAATTGATAATATTCACACCATTCTAACAGAAAGATTAATTTAAAACGTTGCTCCATTATTGCAATAATTTAGCTGTGTCTTATGTCCAGTTAAAATAGGGTTTTTATAACATTTTTGAATGATTATATTTTGCATGCTGAATCATTTACTTACGACATTGCGCTGCGCTGAATTAATTTACTTACGACATTGCGCTGCATATATATATATATATATATATAGAGATATAAGGTAAAGTAAAGTTTGTCCCAGATCGGTTATGGTAGCTCCGTCAGAAACACAGATAACCTCAATGCATTCCCATAACCAAGACACATATTTCTTATCAATTTTGAAAAGTATAATTTTCATCTTTGGGGAACGTGACATTGTGCCACTGATAACATATATAGTGTGCATTCCTGTTCTAAAATTTTGAATTATAAAATTTTTTTAACATCAGCTGAAAATCTCACAAAAATATTTTTTTTTTCAAAACTCAAAGCACACACCCTTCAAGCTGGCAAACGTTAGTTGTGGTTTTCAGGTTAGGGTAAATTTGGTTGTTAGTTTTATTTAAGTTGTGTTAGGTTTGACCAAAGTATTGAATACTTTACAAAAGAAATAAAGAATTGGCAAAATATCCATCGATTGCATACATTTTTGAAGAATTTCAAAATTTGAGGTGCAACCTGTAAACATTATCATACATATAAACAACAATCTTATGGTTTTCTGAGGTTTAAATCGTATACTTCTTGAACTACTGCTGAAATAAAATAATTCAGTATTTTGACTATTTAAATCACAGACATCTACTCACATAGATTCATGACAATGATCATGATTGTATGTATTTCTGCGAGAACACTTTTCTTACGACTACCAATTTTCACCTTCCACAAGACTAGCATCACTAACCAGAATATCACAATCCAAACAAAAATGTCAGTTGTTTTTTGTGTACCAGTATTCAATGAATCTTGCAGCTAATTTAGCCCTTATACAAATACAGTACAGAATAAGCTTATAAATTCTTGAATCTGATTAATAATAAACTGAAGAGGCTTATGTATATTCCATCACTCGAGTACACATCCTGGTCAGTTACCTTCCAAGGCTCATAATTATAGGGTTATGTATTAAAAAAAACATTTTATAATTAAATGGTGACACATAAAATTATCTTTCATCCAAATCTCATCTAATATGTTTCTAAAAACAGAAGTTCTGTTTCTTTGTATTCTTTTTTAAAATATTCAACACTTTCTTACTGATATAACTTACCAGCATTAAACATGCTGCATTAGGACTGATAAGTATGAAGGACAAGGGAGGTAACAATATGGATCCAGCCTCAGAACATGATCAGGAAACTACGAAAAAAGGAATGTATAATGTTGGAACAGTTCAGCAACAGCTCTGACAAATGTACGGTTCCAGAGCTGTGGACGACTACAGTGTAAACATTCCACAGCAGTTACTTTTGTTGTTTTCCCTTGGAAAAATTAACACTAAAGCATTTTTCTGGGCCTACAGCTGAAATAAAATTAAAAGTCAACAGATGCTCAGCCAATCACACAATTTCATTTTTGTGGAAATCAAAGATTCATCAACACATTTTCAAAATCTTCCTGTACCAGTTCCGTTGTCCCTACATCCTCATACATTCTTTAACACTAATTTTGTGCAAATTTGTCTGATTGAAATTTTGTATGTATTTTGGTAAGTGAATGTAAATTTAGAATGAAATGTATGCACATTTTGACTTGCTGAACATCATCAGCAGTTCTACATAGCAGCCATCTCAAGTTCACAAGACAAATGTGCAGGCAGTGCGAGATTCGAAGTCCTACATCATCCTAATTTCTTTACAAAACAATTATTTTTCTAATTTTCTTTTTACATTCAATGAACACTGCTTTAGAAATACATAAATACTTGAGCTAAACTTTTTATGTCTTTGTTTCACTTTTATACACATTTTTAGAGTGATTATTTAACAGGATCATGAAAGTTTAAAGCACTGCATATGTTTCACAAGTCTCACATGTTCCACCTCATAAGACACAGAGTTCATGAGACAGTACTTGTACTCATTTGCAAACACATACAGTAAGATGATATAAAATAATAAAAAGATTCGTTTTTACAGCACATTAAATTAGATTTGTAACAAAAAGGGTGTTGTGGCAAGAATACTGCTCAGTTGCACTCAGCTGTAAGATACACTATTCAATTACTGTGGTCTGAGTCAGGGACTTCGTAACATTTGAATAAGTATAAGCATTTTTATGACTTCCTCAGTGAATAAAGAACTACTGGCCTTTATAATTATCTGGCAAAAAGACGGGAAATAAAGTGACTGCCATATCAACATCACACCCTTCAAATAACAAAAGCTTGGTTTCTGCTCACCTGTTCTTGAGGACATTATCCTGCAATGATCAACAACACTCTGAATTTTAATGTCACTACATACAGGCAGTTATTTCATTAAATATTTGTACTAGATCATATAATGCTTTTATGTTGTCACATTTCTTTCTCTTGCCTCTGAGGTGAAGCCAAAAAGTACAGAATGGTCAAGTCTATTGCTCACTAAATATTAACTGAAATTCATGGAGAAAACTTGTTCTAATTATGCTCTGTGTTCACCACAACTATGGTAAAGCAACAGTCTCTAGAAATCCAAATTTTCAGGAATTTTTTTTTGACATAAATACGTCTATACGGAAGGGTCATTCCGCAAACAAGTGAAAGGAAAATGTGTAAGATGGTTACCTAGGAAACGTCATCTGTTTATTCGTCATTGTTGTTACCAAGGAAACGTAAAACGTGTAAGATCCGTATAAACAAATAGACAACAATGTTTACATAGGTAACCAGGTAACCACTGTTGTCGACAATATCAACAATGTGTAAATATTTACCGACAACAACATTTCATTACATTCCATTACAATACATTACAGAGACATTAAGTACAGAGACGTATTTACGGCAAATTCTCCGGAACCGTGGTTCCACTGTCATTTTTCACAAACTTAAAATTTAGAAAAAGTTTTAAGTCTTTGCTCATGTGATTATTATGCAAAAATTCTCGGACAGTCAAATAAACCACCTAAGAAAGATTGGAGAACTTTCATAGTAATTACCCTCACAATTCATAAATTATCCTTGCAGGTGTTTCCTTTCAGAATGAAGAATATCACCACCCAGTCCAAGCTGTCTATGCCAGGAGCCCCCCCCCCCCTTTTCAGCCAATGGCAGACTTCCCACAGTGCCAGGAGTAAGGGTTCTCTGGTGATTGAGCTGAAAAATAGACAGATATTGTTGGTGACAGTTTTAACTATAAAATCACTGTCTTTATACCCTCCTTCTACACCATTGATTTTAAACTTTTTCTTCCACATGGTTATGACACTTCATCTACTCATATGTTAACATTTATATATATCAGTGACTTACGGGCTGCTAACAGCAACCAGACATATAAAACAGCCTGTCATCCACAAGCAAAGACTGGAATGGCTCAGTTCTGTTCGCACCTGCTTGGTCCACTGTGACATGAGCCTGTGAGTCAGTACAGTGGTCGACTGCTCCCTGTCTGGACCATGTCCTCACTTGTCTCCTGCTGGCTTGCAGGCATGTTACTACTGCCTGCAATTGGAGTTGCTGTAAACACGAGTTCATTACATTAGGTTATTATACCTGAAATCAATTAATAATTAGAGATTGTGTTTGCATGACTAATACAGTAGAAGATACAGAGATATACCAAGTACACTGGAGAGAACAGAAAGAATGGAGAACAACATACTGCACAGAAAAGCATTGTTATACAAACCTCAGAAAAGAAGAAATGTTGGGAGAGCCTAGAAGAAAAGATGGTCTGATCAGTTTTGAGACTTGGAACAGACCCTGGAGGCCCAACCTCTGATTGTTAAGACGCATTCATAAATTATTTCTTGTTAGCACATATGCAGCTTTCTATCCGACTGATGTCATGGTATCGCATTCTTGATTAATTTCAACAAAGTGCTGTAAAGTATCTATATACCAAAACCTGAAAACTTACATAACAAAGACAAATATTTATTGTCTTTAACAATCTTTAAACTCTAAGTGCAGACTTCTTTTCCCTATTTAAATATCATGGGAAGGTTTACGATACCTCAGCACTACTCCTGTAGCTATAAATTCAACGAGACATTGGTATGGGACCAAAGCACACGGACAGCAAAGACGGTATATGTCTCTAATGTTAAGTACACCAAATACACACAGTTTAACATACCTGAAACATTTACATGTGCATTCATAAAGTATAATTATTTCCAGTAAAACAGATATGGCAGAGTTCCGACTATCTGAACTTCCATTTTATCTGATGTATCCGTTATTAATTTCCCCAAAAATATACTTTAATTTACAAATTTGTAATTTGTTAAACGCTAATTTAGTTTGGGAGATTTTTTCATTTGATGTCCTACTGTATTTTCGATGCTGCACGGTAGGACTTAATAAAACTCAAATAATTCAGTAAGTAAAGTAAACATACTGATTTGTTGTGAGGTTTGAAGTTCTTGCAGCATTGAAGATATTCACACATCCTTTTTCCCTGTGTTTCAAATTTAAACTGAATGGGATAAATGTTTTGGTGATTTCTAGAATCTGATTGCTTTTAGGGACAAAGACAGAAAGCAGTTTGACGAAAATCAAAACAAAACTCTGTACGTTGCAGACTCATACAATCACAAACTAAAGGCCGTGAATGTACAGAGTAGCAGGATCAGGAAAGCCAGGCAACGAGACTGGGTGTTACGAAACTCCAGACGCTGTACAGGCAACAGTCATCAGAACTTGTGTAACCAAAGGTCTCTGAGTAAAATGTGTCTTGATGCCACTTTGTTCAAAACAAATTCTCATTTGGACTGACCTAGGTAGGATAGCGGGATCAGGAAAGCCAGGCAACGAGACTGGGTGTTACGAAACTCCAGACGCTGTACAGGCAACAGTCATCAGAACTTGTGTAACCAAAGGTCTCTGAGCAAAATGTGTCTGTGCAACTTTGTTCGAAACAAATTCTCATTTGGATTGACCTAGGTGCAAACCCAGGACTGCGTGAAGAAGCGCAACTAACCATCTGAGCTGCGGCATGCCCAAGGTAATACCACTGGAAGCATCATCATTTGTGTTCCCAATTCCCTCATACTCACGTTATCAAACGCAATCTTCTAGCAGACCATCATAATCCATGTTTATGCTTCATTTTTGTAACTACGCAAATATTTTTTTGAAATTTCACTGAGTTTACCTTCAGTTTTATTAACATGTGAATGTTATTTCAAACGTACATGAAATAAAGAATATCTGCCAAGCAGTATTATATTGAGACTTGAAATTAAGTTTATAAAAATGTACTGTAATAGCAGTCTCCACCCACAATCTTCCTCTTGCCCAAAACAAAGCTTCACACCTTAAAACTCTTTAGCAATACAAACCCTTTTATAGGGACTGGACACATGGGTGAGCACTAAGTTAAAATATTCAAATTTATCAGGTAAGATTCTAAAGAGTAATTCACCATTTGCCTTGGTTTGGCCATGATGAAGGAAGCAGTAAGCACCTCTGAACTGTCAAAACTTCTACAAGTCATTTTCATACTAAATACATAAACACTCAATTATTTCTCACTAACCACAAAAAACTGTAAACTCAATTTGTCAAATGGCACTTATGCAACAAAAGATTCATGTGCACAAAAGCCTGCCTAACTCCATCCTGAGCCAGCTGCATTCAGTTCGCTCCATTCATTCCCATCTCCCTAAGGAATCCTTCCTTCAGGGATACCACCCAGTACCTCATATTTCTTATGCAACAGTTCCACCAACTTGCAAGGCATAAACACTTCAGCTAAAAAAAATGCAAGATATTTAGATGAGAGGTAAAAGAAATTGCACAACAAATTTGGTTTCAAAATGAACTCATTTTAATGCATCAGCAAGCAAACACAAAATTCTTACAATACTGACAATTCAAACTGAAAGTGGAGCAGACATTCAATACTCCACTGCACCCCCCACTTCTCCGTTAACATAATGCTGCTCGGCATCATTGTAATCACTCGCCAGGCCTGCGAGATCAAAGCCAGCTAGTAAGAGCTCGCCTGAATCGATACCCTCACTCACGAACTGGTCAACAACACTTCTGTGGTAATTGTAATATGTGTCGTAAGAGCTACAAATTTGATTAAAGACCTCGCCATGGCGGTCGTGTTGGATAGCATGCAGAGTGCACGCGGTGCCTTTCCCAGGTCTCCTCCTGGAACTACAGTTGGTGGCTTCGAGTTGATACCAACAGTGAAGCAAGATGAAAACTTGGCCACGAATTGGATCGAGCGTTCGGCCCTGATGATTGCGACGTCCCCTCTGTACAGCATGGAGCCGGCCGTGTACTTTGCATCGGATGGGTAACACCTCACCATCTGGCTTTCAGGCTCAAAACAAGCTTTTGTAATTCAACTAAAGACAGCTGGTTCTTAGCCTTGGTGAGCAAAGGCTCGCGAGGTGTGACGCGCCCTGCCTTGTAATCTGAGATTATCATTGCCTCGCGAGGTGTGATGACCGGGGCATAGGCGGAGGTGGGGGTTGGGCACCAAGGCATTCTTCAATTCAGTCAGGTCAACATTCAGAGGGTTATCGAACCGGACAGAAGCAGTTATGGAAGACACAACCTGTGCAATCTGTCTGTTGATGTTGGTGTTGGCGTAGCTGATCTCTTCCATGCCCAGGTTACGTTGGCAGATGTCATGAACGGCTACATTTTCAAACATGAAAGCACAGTCAGAATTTTCGAGCATGGCATCGATGGCGAGGACAGTGTTGAAAGACTCTAAAGCTTTCCCATTCCAAGCGGGGGAGTGGACAGCAAAGTTAAGCTTGGTCATGTTTCCATAGTCAGCCGACAGCTTTTCCATCAGCAGGGATGTGAAGCCGGAGCCAGTGCCTTCATTAAAGGAATGAAAGATCAAGAATCCCTGAGGACTGCTGCACTCCTCGGCCAGCTGTCGGATGCGGTTCACAACGGGGTCCATGATCTGGGTGCCGATAGTATAGCGACCTTGGGCACAGCTGGGAGCAGCACCTCCATTTGCATTAATGAAATTATCGTCAAAATAGCTGACTGTAGGTGTCAGTCCGAATTTCATCTGTGAACACACCGGTCAACGTCCAATTTCAACATATCAACATTACACTTTGATACATTTCAATGGGCATTTCCCAATACAATTAAACAGGATGCACCTTGCTTCACTTATGAGATTTCAAATGTACATACCTACTACTGTGGGCTCCAGGTCAACAAAAACTGCCCTTGCTACATGCCTTCCTGCTCCAGTTTCTCTAAAGAAAGTCTTGAATCTGTCATCACCACCTCCTACAGTCATTTGACCATCTGGCTGAATACCATGTTCCAGGCAGTACAATTCCCAGCATGCATTGCCCATCTGCACGCCAGCTTGCCCAACATGAATTGAAATACACTCACGCTGAAATACAACACAACTTCAGACTACCCTGTCACATTAAAAGACATCGAAAAATCCTCATCTTTCATATGCTATTAAGCGAAACATGAAATTACAGTAGATTATGAATTTCTTAAATGTTTTAGAGCCACAGTTCAAAACCCACATATGGAAGCAGTGATTCTTCAGACAATGTTTAGTCAATATGAAATAAATATCATCCAATTTCAAGACTGCCATATTAATGCATGTACAAATATATACAACAGATGCATCACAATGGCACCTCATTTCATATAGAAGCTAACTGATCGTTTATAACAAATAAAATCCAGACTAAACTTTCTCTTACAAGGAAATTCCATCACCTTTTATTGTTTTCCATTCATTGATATGTGTTTTATTGTATTGATTGTTCCTTTTGTTTTGTTTAATTAGGAGTTCAATTTTGTTAGCTATTATATGTCGTATATGGTCTTGTTTTTGTATGGGAATTAAATTTATAGTGGTTTCTGCTTCTAGTGCTAAATTTGTGATCCATGTCAATACTGATAACCAAAATTGGAGCAGACATTTACTACTACTGTGAACCTTCTCCTTCTCCTTAAACAGAAAGCCCGCCTACCTCCTCATACTCCCTCTCCATGGCTCCAAGATCCGCGCGAGCATCTAACTCGCTTCTTTCAATATAATCACGCAAGAAAAGGTAAATATATCTACTGTCAGTGTACATGAGGTTGAAATTGTTGTTAATCTGAGCAAAGACCTTGCCAATGGCGGTCGTGTTGGACAGCATGCAGGTCTCTTCCTGGAACCACAGTTGGTGGCTGGGAGTTAATATCAAGCTTGAAGTTAGATGGACGCCAGTTCATGAATGGGTACGAGCGCTCCTCCATGATGGACATTATGGTAATGTTGACGTCCCTGGGCACGAAGTTCCTCTGTATAGCATGCACCAGGCCATGTACTTTCCGTGTCTTCGGTCACACTTCACCATTTGGTTCGCAATCTCAAAACAAGCATTTGTAATTTGAGGTATGGAAAACTGCTCAAATGGTGACTTGCGAGCTGAGGTGGCCAGGGTATAGCTAACAACATGGAAGCACAGGCAGTGGTTGGCCACCAAGGTATACTTCAATTCAGTTAGGTCAACCTTCAGTAGGCTACTGAACCAGTCAGAAGCGGTTATGGAAGATATAAACTGGGCAATCAGTCTGTTAAGGTTGGTGTACGTGGGGCGTTGAATGCCCAGGTTAAGTTGGCACATGTCATAAACAGCTGTATTGTCAACCATGAAAACACAGTCAGAATGTTCAAGCATGGCATATGTGGCGAGGACAGTGTTGAAAGTCTCAAAAACTGAAGCATCCCGACGGGAGGCGCGGACAGCAAAGTTAAGCTTGGTCTTGTTTCCGTAGTCAATCGACAGCCTTTCCATAAGCAGAGGTAAAGCTGGAGCCAGTGCCACCACCAAATGAATGGAAGATCAGGAAACCCTCAGGGTTGTTGCAGGTTTCAGTCACCTCTCAAATGCAGTTCACAACAGGGTCCAGAAACTGACTGCCGATGGTGTAGCGACCTCGGGCATAGTTGTTAGCGGCATGTCTGTCTCCAGTAATCAAGTTGTCAGGGTGGAATATCTTTCTGTACTTGCCAGTGCGAACTTCCAGCATGCATTGCCAATCTCTACTCCAGCTTTGCCAACATGAAGTGAGATGTACTCACTCTGAAACAGAACACAACTTCAGACTACCCTGTCACATGAGATGACATTGAAAAATCCTCATCTTCCATATGCTATTAAGTGAAACATGAAATTACAGTAGATTGTGAATTTCTTAAATGTTTTAGAGCCACAGTTCAAAACCCACACATATGGAAGCAGTGATTCTTCAGAACATTTCAAGTTCAATTTACTAATTACTTACTAATAACAATTAAAAATGTCTAATTCTTGCATATTTAACTGATGTATGCATTTAAAACTCACTTTCCCGGAATCAGATTTCTTACTTTGACTTGAATCTGTCTTTTGAGTTGGTATGCCGGTTCCAGCTTTCTTATTTTCGACTTTCTTCTTCTGATTTCTTTTCGGAGAATCTTCATCATCGTCCATGCTAAGAACAGCAAACCGGGAGGCCACTGCTGTCGCCATTATTTTATATGCCATTACTTACAATTACAGTACGAGATTCAACACCTTTTCAAATCAAAGGGTTTAATTTGTGATTCAAATTTATACCACACTGATAAAATACATTGTGTTTGTCCTTTTACTTTCACCTACGATTTTAAATCTGTCAAACTCCTACGACACCGCTACACGCCAAATTCAATAAAAACGCACACATACCGACATTTGTCGTTAAGCAAAGACTTATGGGATAATAACTCACGGCGACTGATGTTGCATTGTGGGAACTAAATATGTCTGTTCATTAGTGGGAATTGAGATATTCTCATTTGTATTTCTGTTTGTAAGTTTATAATTGACGTTCGTTAAAACCATAATACTATATCGTTTGAGTTCGCAGCTGTGCTTTTCGGTGAGAGTGGAATACATCCCCATATTATGGGTTGATGGGGGTGGTGTGTCAGCTCAATATTTGACAAGTTCGCCCAGTTGCGGTATCGTACCATTTGTTTCCAATTAATTGTTTAATATTTTCCTTCATACTTTTAAAATTTATCTCACATATTTGTTGTCCAGTGGTGGTGGTGTTCCTTATTTTCAGAGTATTGCAACAGTTCTTGAATGATTTACGTTTCAAGCCTTTTTTATCATTAGTTTCAGTCAGCCTGTATCTATGTAGCAAATTCACATAATATTATACAATTACAACATTGAGGTTATATCACCAGCAATTAATGTGCTTATTGCCTTCATACATAATTTACATGCCCCACATGTACGTAACTGACGCTAGGCAATTAGAACATGGGGAGAATACATAACTACTTCAGGTTACCCTAGAATTTATTTACATTCGGTGGATCTTTCGTGACAAAATCCAAGAATGTAGAACATGTCATACTGATATTGTGATCATTTTGTGTAATAAAATACCAATACAACAAACTTGTGCCACCTATTTATATAAATATTTGCAGTATTTCATAATTTTTAATGGAAGTAAATTGTCTGCAGATTAGGAGGAGTGAGATAAAAGGTAATCTTTCAATGCTGGCTTAAATACATTTATATCATGATTTAAACTTTTAATTCTATCTGGAAGAGTATTCAATAATTTGATTCCTGCATATTCAGCACCTTTCATATAACTAGTGAGGTTAGCGCTTAGCTGATGGAGATCGTACTTATGTATTATGTTTATGCTATGAATGTCAGACTTTATTTGGAACTTCTGTATGTTGTCCACAACGAAAGATATTATGAGAGTACGAATTAACTCACAAGAGGGAGTATACAAATTTCTTAAATAGTTCTATGCAAGTTACTCTTTTCTACTATTATTTCTTCTTACTAATTTTAACACCTGTAATTATTGCAATGATTTTAATTTATATGATACTCTTTTGCTGTCTGTAGAATTTCCCCAGAAGATAATTCCATATCATGTGATTGAATGGAAATAAGCAAACTAACTTTACAGTAACTACTTTGAACAGTGGTATGACTGTTCTCATGGCAAAGCGTGCTGAACTTTGTTTCAGGATAATATATTTAAATGTGCTTTTCCCAGTTAAAATTATCAGAACCACCAAATCAGAATGCCATTGAACAAAAAATAATAAAAAAGTGATACTCCTTCCCTCACACTTAGCCTAACCAACGCAGCATAAATATTGCAGTGAAAATGTAAATGATAATACTGATGATTACTTCATGTTGGTTAACAAAGGCTCGTGGTCTGTGTCTGGTTAACAAACAATAATTACGTACACATTCTCTTTCAGATATCACAATATTTGAATTTTAATATCCATTTCTGTTTACTCTTATTTTGAATTGCACATGGAACTTTTGAAACACATAGCTGCATAATATACAGCTGTGCTATTTAAATGAATATTTGCCTGAATACAATGTATGCATTAAAAAAAAAGAACAAAAGGAACATGTGGATTCAAGCTTCCATAAGTCCTTCACATCAGAGACAATCTGGTATGCTGCCGAATGGGTTACCACCGGATGTAGACAGTCCAGCAATGTGTAGTGGTCATTTTGCTGTTGATTCTACTAAAAGTGTATGTTAGGAGAGTTAGAAGCATTTTGGTGAACAAGAATGCATGAAGATTTAAGGAAACCTTAAAAATGCAAAATGTAATGACTGAAATGAATTGACATAGGAAAGAATAGCTTCATATTGATTACTTTCTTTTCAGACGCTGTAGCTTTTCAAGATTTAATTGAAATCCTAGGTGGTTATGTCAGCTCCTGTCTTGTTTTCATGTGGAATGTCTCTTTACTGTTCAATGTTTACTTCTTTTGTGATGTATATTATGGTTACTGATTTTTTTCCAACAGTGAGTATGTGGGAAATCTGTATGTACAACTGTCAGAGAAAGAAAGAATTTACCAAAAAGGCCTTGGTAATTTTCATTTCTAGTGATAAAATGTACAACATTCAGAATTCCTTTGTATGTGTGTATGTAGTATTTTTCATACTTTTTCTCAGTAAGTAATAGATTAAGCATGCAAGAAAATGCAGTTATCACAGGAATTACCTTGTAGATGTTTATAATTCCCTTAAAATAAGAGGGTAAAATTTTCCCACAACTCACACAAATTATAATCTAAATTTCATGTTGTAGGCCCACATATTTGAACTTCTGAAAACCCCCTTGTCTAGATATTTGCATACAGTAACAGATTCAGCACCTTAAGAAGAAAACTGTAAAAGTTATAAAGTGTTGTATTTTGAATTTTGGTAAGTATGAGGCAGGTTCCATATTGACCCATTGCCTTTCCAAGAAATCATCTACTTCGCTTATGAAGCCTAAGAAATTTTTATGTTTTGTCCTGAAACCATTTTGTACATATGTACAGTTATTTTGAATTACTGGTTTAAAGTAATATTAGATTTCTTTTCAGATATGTATCACACCAGATGTCGAGAAGGTTCAACGGTTATGAATAAGTTCCCTGAAGATGTAGCTATTGCTGAAAGGCTTACAGGAGGTGATCCAAACATTATAAGGGATAATGCTTTTGCACCAGAAGAACGGCCAGATTATCGCAACATATTTGGGGTTGAGAAAAAGCCTGGCTCACCAGACAAAAAGAGCAAGCTTATTGGTTCCCACGGTAAAAATCAGGTTAAATGGGAGGTAAGACGACTGTCACAATCAGCTAATGGGCGTCGAAGTCAACTTGCATCACCTTCACTTCAAGTACTTCAACATCCACGACAGATTACACACCCATGTTTTATAAGTGAGGTGAGAGATAATTCTGATCATGTTGTACATATTAGGCATCAGCCTAGTCGATATGACCAAGCTGCTACTCCCAGCTCTCAATACAAGTGCCATCATTGTGACTTCACCTCCAGTAGACTGAATGTTATTGTTCTGCACAGTAAATTTCACAGTGCAAATGCAACCAGCAGTTGCCAAGGTGCTGGTATTAAGGGAAAGTCAGCTAACAGGAGTAAAGGTGCAGGAAGAGCTTCTGGAAGCAATCCAGATTACAGGTCAAGAACTCGTAGTAGAACTGTGCCAACATCTTTTGATACTCCCAGAGCTGAGGTTGGTGCAGAAAGAAGTGCTCCTGAAAGGAAACTTGATATGGCTGGCATAGAAACAACGAATGAGGAATTGGGTGCAAATTCCAAGCAACAGTTACCAAAGAGTCGAGAAAAACAGTTGAAAACTCCAGAAAGGAAATCATCTAAGATCCCTGTCTTTGGGAAAAGGAAAGGTTCTAAATGGGGAGGTGAAAGGCCTGCAAAGAAGAAGAAAAATGATGAAGAGATTCGAGAAAAATTGCTTCCTGTAGCAGAGGCTTCTCCAGTTATTGGTACCCTGAAACCTCAGTCAAATACAACACAAGGAACCACAGTTTCAGGAACTGTTCTTGGCAAACCTGTAGCAACAACTACTGGACAGTTACAGGCTAATAGTAGCACATCTCAATCCATAACAAGACTTTCATCTCCAAAACCAAAAATGTTGACAAATCCTGTGCAGAGAGTTTCTGTATCAAAAATAGTTGAGAATGCACAGACTCAGATAAGACCAACGGTTTCACCAGGCATGGTACAAAGCCCATTGCCTGCCTATTGTTTGAGGTCAAAAGACCAGGGGTTTCTTTCCACAAAATCTGTCCCTTGCCCAGATTTGCACGTTGATGAAAAGTCTGATTCAGAAGAACAGTTACCTCCTGCATTTTCATCAGTCCGGGATAGTAAAGGTGAGTCCCCTTGTGTTGGTGTGAGTCTCTGAAAGCTTTACTTATTTACATTATTCACAGCTAAGAATCCTATGGTACATGAGTCTAGTTGGAATTCTGAGTCTGACCAGGCAAGTAATGCCGTATTTCTGAGACATTTTAGTTATGGAAGTTTCTCTTATTTGCTACAGAGATTAGTTTTAAATTTGGTGTAGCCTGTAGTACATGGAGCAACAATGCTTTCCCTGTCAAAATTAAATGCACTAGAGACATCTTTTTAAGGGTTACAGTCTCTTACTGAAGATGCTATAAATTTAGTCCCAAAAGAGGATTGTTATGGAGGGAAGCATCACCAGCACAATCTGTCTGCTGCTCGCTACTTGACTTTTGATCCTAGTGGTAAGTGATGTAAATATTTAAGCTAAACAGGTTATTTTTGTGCCTCTAATCGATCAGTAAAGTTACTTGTTTCTGAAGCAATAGCAAAAATTATTATTTTTGTTGTTTAAAGCATAAATAATTACTTTTGTATATAAGGTTACTACTTTGATACCATCTAATGCCCAATAGGATGAACATATAAATGAAAGTGAATGAGTGAAGAAATATATTTAATTGCATTAGTTATATTGTGATGAAATTATGTTAAAAAACAGTTTTTGAAAATTAGAAAATAAACTTGAGCCTTAATGGGTTCTTGGCTCTACACTCAGTCTATGGGCTGCATCTTAAAACCAGCAATGTACACTTATAATGGGTTGTGTACGTTACAGACGTACCATGTGGATCGATACCAGATGCAGATGTGTCAGAAAATTCTAACAGTACATCCAGTGAACAACCTGTATATCCACTGTCTGAGGAAGAGATTGAATCTGATTCAGAAAGTGATTCTTATTCTGCAGTTGATGATAATATTACTCTATGCTGTAGCACAGTGTTGTCAGAAGATGTGAGTATAATTATTGGTCTATTTATTGTCTGTTGAAAGGCCATGAGACCACACCACAGACATAGACATAGATGGAATAGGAAAACAGTGACTGGACTGAATTGGTTCAGGCTACAGTCTGTTGGTGACCTTTTGTGAATATGGCGATGTACCTTTGGTTTGCATACAAGCAGGGAATTTCTTGGCCGGCTTTGGCACGTTTTATCTGTGAACAACTCTGCCTGAACAGGTTTTAATACTTACATATGAAAAAGTAATAGCTCAGCCTAGGATTCGAAAGTGTTGCTTAAAAATAAATTCACAGGTTCTTTCAAATTTCAGTAATTTTGTATTGTGTGGTATTGGTGAGGAGAATATTTGGACCTAAGATAGCTTACGTGACGGAAGTATAGAAAATAGCCTACAGTGAGTAGTTTCATAATTTGTACATTTCACCAAATACTATGATTATAAAATAATTTATTGTGACTTGTAGGCTTCAGAATAAAAGGAGTTAGATTTTTTGACCTTTCCAAGTAGTTTTCAACATTTAACAGATGATGTCTTCATGTAACATAATTTAACTGTATTATTCATAAAATTGTGAGTGGATGTGTGTATTTATGTGTATGTTTGCTTATAGCTCAGAAACCGACATGGCATATTTTTGCCTTGAACCAGGAAGAGTTTTTAGAAAGGTCAGAACTTTGAAAACTGTCCTCAGTTTGTGTCTCAGTGAGGGTGGTTCCTGTAGCTCAAAAACTAAGCACCGTAGAAGAACAGTGCTAAACCAAAAGTTGTTTGTTTCAGTAAGGAGATTACAGGAACAGAGGTCACAAACCCAAAATCTTTTGTGGTGTCAAGTCTCGGTGAAAATGTTTGGTTTGGGGATAATTTTTTTTACCTATAATATGCAATAATACATATCACATGATGAGGCTAGCTTTCAGCAACATTCATGTTATCAGTAAGTGTTACTGTTTCCTGTATTGTAATCAAATGTTTCTTTCAGAAGTATTCATCTGAAGTTGCATAAAGCAGACTTCTTTCTTGGGGTGTCAAGACCTAACAGCGAAAGCATGTGGTATTCATAAATCATGTGTTTTAGGGCTACAAAGAAATTTAGTGCACAGGGAGATCCAGCTTGAGTCACCCAGTAAGAAAATTAACATGCCAGAGAAAGCGACAAACCTAGATGACTTCTATAAATATATTGTGCATAGAACTGTGCTGGATTTCTCTGGATTAGAATTCTACCAGTAAAAAATAGCATTTGCATTCAAGGATAAATCTGGATACCAGGACTCAAGTTTTCCAACTTTAAGAATATTGAAGCATTTATGATTTAACTATAAAACAAGGTTGGAAGGTGTGCTCTTTGGAGTACACTGATATTCCGAAGGTGTTCTGTACACTGCATCAGGTAGGTTGTTGTTGCACTAAAGCTATTCAAGGCCATTGTTTGCAACTGTTTTCCAAAGATGCATGTAAGCCATTCTTGCACAGATGTTTCAGCCAGGATGGTAAATGCCTGGTTGTTCTGCTAGATTTATGTAGACTTCTGACTACTTCAAAATGTCTGAAATCATGAATTCTATAATAACTTGAAATTATATATCTATTGTAGAAGTCACTAATTTGTGGTTCTATGTGACAAGTTTTGGTTTTTGTAGGAGCTCAGACATGAGGAGCAGGAAGCCGGGAAACTGCTGAGGGTAATACAGAGTGATACTTGTTGGAACCACCTGTGCAGGATATACCATGAAGATGTTTACAGTCAAAGGCACTCATGCTTCATGTCTGGGAATCATAAATTGAAGGCTAATCTGAAGTATTTCACAGGCATTCACATCTTCCCAACAGACAGCATGGTGAGTACCTTTCAGTAAAACCCCCACTCGGCATAACTAAAGGTACCGAAGTATTGTAACCTTGTTGTATATTCTTCATTGAGTGATTTATTTGAATTGTGTTGAGTCCCTTCATTCAAGTCATGTAAGACATTCTGTGTACTTGACACTGAAAGGACATGCAAATTTGATAGTTGAGACATGTTCCTTACTTGTATGTAGTTCAGTTGTCTGCTAATTATGAAGTGTTACTCTATTTGTGCTCATTTCTCTGCATTGTTCAGACTCAGGTGTGACACACTAAAGCGGCCCATCCACATACGAGTCTGGCTTACGAGTCCGGCTCGGTTCGGGTTCCATTGAGCACTCGTTTGTGGGTGGGGTGTCACGAGCCGAGTCTGCTATGCATGTGTGGTGAAATATATCCGAGCCCGGCTCACGAGTCAAGCTTGCCGAGCCAGACTCGCAAGTCAGACTCGTACGTGGATGGGCCGCTTAAGTTTAAGTTCTGGCAGTAAAGAGAGGAGAAATTATGAGGACAACACAGCATTACTAGTAATTTATACAAGTGTGGGTCTGGGATATGGGGGTCCACATGTAGGTCAGTGCTTCCTTTACAGCATTCAAGGTCCAGAAAGGGTGGAGAAAGGAAGTAGAGTTCTGTCATAAGAGTTTATGTCACTGAGTATGGAAAAGTTGAGGTCAAAATTCTGGGAACTGGTGTTCGGCTGCTAAGGAAAGAACCAGATAGAAAGAGATCATTCAGATTGTAACCCTTTAAAAACATTTTGGGTATGACTGTATTTACATTAGCTTTGTCAAGCATTAAAAACAACAATATACGTCCAAATGGATGGATTTAATTTGTCAAGTTCTTGATTTCTCTCCATCTGTTAAATTGCCCATATTTTTGATAACCTGTTGAGAGACTGCATTGCAACAAAGAGCATTTTCAAGATTTATGAACCCAAGTAAATTGAGATAAAAATTGCGTTTACTAAATTGAAATGTGTTTAGCAAGAGGAAATGTCTCTCAGCTGTAGACACTTTAAGCTGGTAATGCTGTGTCATTTCCTTATCAAAAGTGTAATGCAGTAGACTGCTCTATTCTGCAATGTGTTTTGGCTTTCTCTAGCCAATACATCTCGCCGCATAAACTATGACTCACACCACATTTGTTTCAGTGGGTGTTCAGAATATTAGGTCTTTATAGAAGTCAGTCGTGGTCAGTAAACTTTAATCTGACTGCATGGTGCAACATCCCAGAAGACAGTTATCTTTATACTAACTTTTGGATGTGTCAATCCAAAGTCCGTGGAATTCAGAATATCAGTTTTCCCTCAACAGTCCTCTGCTTATACCACACAGATAAAGTGGGACCAGTTTGCATGTGCCACAATCAAGGACTTCTTTAGTAATATCATGTTTTTAGAAAATTATCTTCTCATGGACATTAAATAAAGGTCTTGTTAGCTGGATATTTATTCCCTCATCATGATTAAAGGCTTAAACTTATTGATAAAATAATTATCTACTTGTACATTAAGGGTTAATAATTTTAGCCTGCTCATTTCTGTTGTGACTTGATTTCAGGCACTTGAATTTACCAGCACATTACAAAAGTATGTTGATAGACTTGGAATTGTGCGAGATCAGTCAGACTACATGTTCTATGTCTGGGTGCCAGAGGTAAGAGCTCAGAATGACTTCAGTGAGAGTTGTTTAAGCATAATGTTTTTCTCACAGCCCTTTAGTCTGTCCCATCTACATGGATAAATAAGATATGTAGTATTTAATGGCCTATACATGTTAGAAATATGCTAAATTTTAGAGATGTAGGTACATTATATTGTAATGAATATCAGTAACTATCTGTGGGTTCTTGTTGAAAAATGGATTTATTTTGCTCACTATTGTTACAATTAATTGTTTACTTGATGGCAGCTTTGCCATTGGATCATGGTCTTGATTATATATGACCTCCACACTGGTAATGGTTGTTCTTGTCTTCGCATCTGAACACACGTATAGTACGAAGTTGTCCTGTTCATTTATTCACCACCAATGCACACACTGCTTGCTCGCCAATTGTCTCTGAAGCCAAATGGCTGGTATGAAAGGTCTTGTAATGATTCTAGAAAAGTCCCCATCCTTCAACTAGCTTGAAGATGTTTCCAGTTCCTATGACGGTCCCAGAACAACTGGTGCATGCGGCTTCCACATCCTCTGTATATGGCTGGCCTACTGTTCAAAATCATGTCATCACCATTGGCCAGTCATACACATCACAGTATTAATTACTAATTTCAGTACCAATAAAATGTATTATCTCTGTGTTCAGATTGCGGGTAGAGACAAAACTAACTTCTCCCCCCAAGCGCCTATATGGTGTATAACACGACAGCTTTACTTCCAGAGACTTTGGCCAGTGGAAGTGTGTCTTATTGTTTTTGTTGTGTCCTTTTGTTTATTGTTTTGTTCTGTCTCATTGTGTTGATGTATCTCATTGTTCTGTTCTGTCTCATTGTTTTGTGCTTCTGTTAACTGAGGGTATCCACATTATTTCAGGATTACATGATAACATAGCTCTTTGAGCCTACAGCATCCTTGATAATATGACACACAGCACATGTCTAGTATCATATCCTGGTCTCATAATGTGTAGTACATCTGTGCACAATATTGTATTGAACACTACAATATCTTATTTACATTAAGAATACTTATTAAGAGTGAAAACACACAAGAATGTATAACTCTACTTGAGAACATCACAGTTCTGAAATAGGTGTTGTCTTCCCAATGTGTTTCAGGCACTGATCTTTGCTCTTCGGGAAACGCACCACGTGAGTAAAGACGAAGCTGAACATTTGTTCCTGAAAGTCAATGGACACTTTAAGGAATTGTGTTGAGTACAGACACAATGCCCTCTGCTGTCTGCAAATGGCATCATATGATTTCTGGTCATTACAAGACTACCTCTTCTGTGTGATGACGGCAGTGGCCACGCAGTCTGAGGCATGGGTCTTGGCCACATGGAAATTGGTATCAGTGGTTTGAATCCTACTGGAGGGAAGGGAGTTTTTCCTCTGAACTGCTGACCTACCACTCATCCAAGGAGTCCCATCAAATTATGGGAAACAATTCTGAAACCTAACATAAGAATGTGGCAAAGGTTCCTCAAGAAACAAGTACTATAGAAGTAATAAAAAATTGGTTTAGAAGTTTACTTTGTGTGGGAAATAAAGACATACAGATCTACTGCTTCAGGTTCCCTTCTCCCCCAACTGCCTCCCATGGTACATAGCATAACATCTTAACTTTAATACCTTTATTCGGTCAATACTGGTAAATACATACAACTGGAAATCATAATGGAATAAAGTACAGAGCAATGGATAAAACTGCACCAACATAACTGCTATAAATTATCAGAGTTCAATTGGAGAGGGCAAAAGTAGGGCACTTCATCCACATACACCTATCAATCGGTAACAAACAAACTTCACCAAATTATCTTTATCAGATGAACAAGAAATTGCAGTAAGAATTCACATTAAATTATAACCTATAATAATCTTGCTTGAAGCAATTAATTGTACCACATATGAACTAAAACAAGGAAGGTAAAAATAATCTGGCCAATGACACACGGACAGTTAATTTAGGAGGACATTTAATCACAAATTACTTACCTTATGTACATTTATGCCAGCCACTCTCGTCTAAACCTTACCAGATTAGAACATACACAGCTCAATGATTGACGATAGAAGATGGATTACCAAACCACAATTGCGAAGTGCTCATCCTTCCATCTATGAACAATGTAGAAACAACATAATGATGCAGAGATACCGGTAGATGGACAAGGTCTTTGAGAGAATCATCAAAAATAAAACTAAGGAAAGCTGTTCGTATAGTATGCATAAGAAGCATTTCTCAGCTGTCTTTTAGTGACTATTTTGTTATAGTGTTAACATGATTAAATATTTTGGTGGGGAGCAATATTTTTTGGTTTTGATTACTGCATGAAACTTTACCATAAAATGTGAACTGTCGTGGAGCAAATGTTAGATGGACATGGTCACACAAGTAAAAGAATAGGACTTCTTTCAAAAATGTCTTGCACTATATTAGTTACATAATTACACATGTTCAAAATATTTAAATTGTTAATGCATGTGTAAAATGTAAGTCTATATTAGAATGGAAGACCAAATACAAAATTTCTCAGACACCTGTAATCTATGTTCCTCCCTCACAGTGAGGGACAATGGGCAAAATTATTGTTTTGTATATATTAATCTTTAGTTTCTTAGAAATCAGACGGGAAGACAAAATATTTTGAACTGAAAAGTGTCAAGCATTTCCGGAATATAGTTACCTCCTGATTTCCTCATGAGTATCATTTTGATTTATTATTGTTGCTCCCAAATATTTGAACTTTGTCACGCTTGTAATGGAATGGAATCAAAGAGCAGACTAAAACCACTTCTTACATCTGTTTTATTTACACTGACTGTGAAAATGCTCCTGTACTGTCTATAACATAATCTTGTATCATTTGTTACATTTTGCCTCATGTATCTTTCTGGCATCAAAAGAAAACAATAAAATATGCAGGTCTGTTATTTCTTCTACCTCATTTAGGGATTCCCTTGTTGTTCTGCTCTGTTCTTTTCTTTGAGCAACAGAAATGCCTGAAGGATTTCTAAATTTATTTCCACTGATGGAACAATCTGAATGAAAATAATATGTGAGAAGTATATATAAAACAAATAAAACAATTTCATACATACACATCATATAACAGATATTAATAACCATTAAAACTACTTTACATCTCACCTCAGCACTGGATTTTTGTCTACTAGAACTTCTAAGCTTGTAAGTTAATTTCAAGTCACGATGCTTTTTCATGTTCTTTGAAGTCTGGTCAATGAGAAACACTGAACAATAACACTTTCATAATTTACTACACATAACCAATACAGAATAGGGTTTACAGGGAAGGCAGTCTAGCTAAGTATTAATATTGAAATGGCAGCATGAATCACAGAACTTTCAGCACAAGGAGAACTGTAATGAGAGCAGTTCTATCAGGTACCCAAACCAAAATCAGATGATGGAAGAAATTAACCCAATATGTCCTATAGCGATCCTGATTTGTAAGCACAGTGAAGTGTGTGACTTCGCCTCTTCCAAAGTCTAAGGTGATCACTTATTTCGTTACCCGGAATTGCAAACATTAGTATAAACATGGTTAATTGTGTTATGATGGTATATTTAGCATCGGACCTTCTGAGCTGACAATCTTCTTTAAAAGGCTTGGCATTAAATTTTCTATATCAATTTCTTTAAAGTAACATCTACAGAGATGAAAACTTACGCTTTTTGTGTATACAAAATTTAATATAATTAAGTGTTTGCCTTCCTGCAGTAAAATTAATTTCTAAAATAATTTTTATTAATTCAGCATCTTCCTTGACAGCAGCATTTACAAGGACGGATTGGCTTTAAAACATATCTACATTTAGACTCACTTGTAGAAAAAATACCTCTATAAACTAATAACAAAAAGACCAGACAATATAAATTAAAAAATTCACAACATTTCAGTACTCTTCTCATTTAGACTTTATTTTAACAAATTTCATATTTATTAATTAGGAATTAGTGACTTCTACATTACAGCCATAAAAAACTGATTAGAATCATATCCATAATCCCAGTACTTTTTTATAATCTAGTTTTTAATATTTTGACATTTGAACACACATTTTGTTAAATGTCATTCAGTTAACGTTTAAAGTTATTGTTCTTGTTGTCGTTATTACTATTATTATAAGCAAGCTGATCACAGTCAGATGTCAATAGACCAACATCTTCATTGCTTTATGAGCCATTTTTGTCTCCCTCAATTTCATCCACCATCTAAGAACTACACAAATACTTTGTATTCCCCAGGGGACAAAGGGAACCCAGGTGTTTGCGTTAGGTGGTCCCTCACTCACGTAGCCTTTAATCTTACATCCCCCTCCCCAGAGCATGGCTTTCACCATTAGTCTGTTCCCGTTTCAGCTTGCCTTGGGAAGATCCGGATTATGACCTGAGAGGGCAGCCACTTATGGAGGTTCGTCATCCCAGGGGAATACCTCGCTAGTGGCACCCTCAGGCAATAAACAATGTTGGTCCCAGCACAGATCCTTGAGCAACCAGAATTCCGCATGTGGTAGCACCAGACTACGCAGTGCCACAACCCACACGACAGCCACCTTCATGTCGCTATAGTTACAATATAATTTAGTACTGGAAATATAATTCAGTCAAGCATGATGTAAGTGCAAGTTGTTAATAAATCTGAATTAGTTAATTTTCTTGGCTTTAAAGACTCTCTGAGTGTTTGACTGTTAGAAATTCACAAGTTAGTTTCTAGCTAGCTGAGTTATGGGGAGGGAGGGCAAGCAGTAACATGGAAGGCATTTTGCTGCCTCCTTGCCCTTTCCCCTCACAGTGTGACAGCTCATGCTTGCAGATATTTTTCATCCAGTACAGCTATATTTTCAAGAATATTTAATTAAGCTAATTTCATTTGCATTAGCTGGTCACTTTGCAGACTGAGTTATTTTAAGTCTGAAAATATGTTAATAAACAATTTACTGAATTTAGGAATAACATATGGCAGCGAATTTGAAAATTTAAATGTTTGAAGTACAATAAGAAGAAATATTTGTATTCCTCAATTCGATGTGTCCGTGTGTGTGCGCTCGTGCAAGTGAACACATTCGTTCTTATGGCAACAAAGGTTTAATCCTGTAATGATTTATTTTAAATAAAATTACATTATTAAAATTTTAAATGTTATGTTTGTTACAACTGTCCTGAAATAAAGTTCTGGCACTAATTTTTTAACATTGTTATTTACTGACTACCTCAGCCATTCAATCCTTTTTCTGTCAGATACACTCCTTGATTTTGTCATACAAGACATAAAAATACCTAATGCAGCAACATTTCAAGATCTAAGATGTCCCTGTCTCTTTTGAAGTCCACATACTTCATAGAACCAAATATTGACAGCTACAACTTAATAAATATAAGAATACACCCAATAATCCATGTATTTACAATATACAATTTTAATGAAAACTAGTTAACATTTATGGAAGGTCAACCTGAAATTTAATTTTGCTACTGTCCCTTTATCTCTATAATCACAGATATACAGAATACAAAAACATTAAAAAAAGTTGAGAGCAGAAATGCTTTTTTGTCAAAATGAAAAGTGCATGAATATACAATATACGATTTATATATTCAGATAAGCATGAAGGTGGAACTGTAGAAGGAAAATATGCTTATAAAAATAATGCAAATTACTGTGAGAACACAACTTATAGTTTTTAATTTCTAATTCTAATCTTAATATTAATTTTTGTAAAACATAATCTCAAACAGTGGCAAGTCGCATATAACTCTGCTTCAGAATAAGAAATGTATCCATGATGAACCAAAGACGACCCAGAGAGAATGAAGCTTGATGCCCAGAATTTAATTATACACCGATGAAGAAGAAGATGATGATATATTGTATGTGACAAAGTTTGTTCCTTTATACATAACAGCATAAGAACAAGGTGCAAAAAATGGATATTTGAGTCTTCTCTGGTGCAAACTTATACTTTACTAATTCATTCACAAAAATGAAACAAAGGTCCAATAACAGCAATGATATTTACACTTCTATTTACACTCTAACTGGCATAAGCTCTAAATTTAGAAGTATATAAAAACACATTATTTTCCTTAGAAGGGAATAGTCCAGTTGGTCAGGACATAACCTCACTTGAAACTTTTATCATTTACAGATCCTACACTATCTAGTAATGATCTCACACAAAATATGAGCTGCCAAAACACTGTACAAGGTTGCACAAAATGTGTCCAAAATTGGAAAGTGCAGTTCAAATTCACACCACCATACACACATATGACAACAGCATGTCCAGCAGCACTGCGGTATATCCTGGTGGATTCCAATTAAGTACGCTCCCTCTTCCTGTCTTCATCATCAAGGGCTGATGCGTCTGACGTGTAAGCACGCGCATACAAACTCATGTATAACAGAAATCAAACAGAGCTCACAAAAAGCATGTGATAAAGCTATCAACTAATCTGTGCACTATAAATTAGTGATGAGCGATAAACAGTGACCTGTGATTTTGTCACTGTGATCAGAAAATCACGATCACTGCAGTGGTTAAAGTGCTCACTAAACAGTGATCACAGTGATTCTTAATTTCTTATGCATCCTAGTGAGAACACAGTACACTATTTTGACTGCTCAGAGCAGTTTAGAGTCAGATCACAATGATTCTCAGTAACTTCTTATGCATCCTAGCGCAACCTAGTGAGAAAACGGGGCACTACAGTATTTTGACAGCTCAGTTCTACTGTCTGTAAATATTAAATAAACGATTTCTATATATTTCTTTTCATTTAAAACTTGCTTCTGTTTTATAATGTATATTAAGATCTTGTAGATGCGTCATATTGTGATTTAT